TTATTTTTTTTTTCTTTTAATACTTTCTATTAGGTTCTTACTTGTGATGTGGTGCCATGTTTAGATGTTTAGTTTTAGGCCTGATAAGTTCATATTTTAATATATTTTATGACTTATATTTATACACTTGAACTCTATTTTACATATATTTACACTAATTATGTTATTAATTATTGCAGTTTAGCTGAAAGTTGTTATTAGTTCATTATGGAGATATTTTGGATAAAAATTAGATATTTTTAGTCCTTGGCAGTGCTATGTGAAGTTGAGTTTGAATTTTGAATTTAAAATTTAAACTTAGATATGAAGATTTGGAGCGATTTTGATTGTGAATAAAATCGATTTGAAAAGATAGACCTTAAGCGACTGGAAACTCAGGACACAACCTGTATAAAGAGCCTTTATGCTTCATACTTGAGACACTTCCACTTCTCTACACACCTTCTTCCCCTTCTTAGTTCTAACCAACTCATATTTGAGAGTCGTTGGAGACTGTAACACCCCTTTTTTCATTATTCATAAGAATTATGTTTTATTTGATATTAAATAGTATTAGGATGTGTTTAGGAAGAATTTAAGAAGAAGTGGTGTAAGAATCTCGCTCAAGCGAGATGATCTCAAGCGAGATAGGATAGATTTAGCTCAACTGTCACCTCGCCCAGTTGAGAGTCGCTCAGGCGAGGACTAACAGGAAAATATCGTGCTCTTTGGATGCTATCTCGCTCAGGAAAAATGGAGCTCGCTCACATGAGCATATCAGAAAAAACTTTGAAAAAATCAGTCTGATGCGAGCAGTGTGTTGCTCAAGCGAGTTGTTCCTCGCTTAAACGAGAGAGCACGAGACTGAGGGGTATTTAAGAGATTTTCAGCATGAAAATTTCATTTTATTGCAAAACCTACATTCCTTTATCTTTTTCTCTAAACTCTCTCTTTCATATTACAGATAAATACCTTAGAAACTTTGAAACTTCACCGAATCTGAGCTCAAATTTTGACGCTACGGAATCATCGATGAGTATCTAAAAGCTCAAACTTCTCGTTTTCACTTCTATCTTCTCTGTTTTCTTTTTACTCAAAGAATACTCTTTCTGTAAGGTGTAGAACTACCTTGGTCTGTGAACCATCCTTTTCTTACTTTCTCATCACCAAACTTGTCTTTTAAGGTAAGGATAGTTATATCTTATTACTAAGAAACTGTTGTGTTTGTGTTATGAAAATGTATGATTTTGAGTATATGTTGGACAAGAATATGTTGTATTATGTTTGAAGTATGTATGTGATGCTTGATGATGTATATAGTTTTACTCTGAGTATATAGATACATGTATGTGATGGACCGAGTCTGAGGGGACTAACTCTCTGAAATAATTGATTGATAAATGATGTACTAATGAACTAGAGTAAAATATAGAGAGATAAGATAGAAAATATGAAAAAAGAAATGAGATAAGAAAGGAATATGTTTAGGACGAGTGTTGATAGTTCAGAGGTACACTAGGAGTATTGAAGATGGGGACGACTGAGAAGTCTTGGGGAAATAAGGGTGGTGGATGTTCCTCTTGAATTGCGCAAAACAAATGAGTGTAGGAGCACCACAGGCCTTACACTCGTTTCTTGACTAATATTCCTGACCATACTTTTGCTAAAAGGGCAGTGTCAGCATACGTTGTATTTGTTTAGTTGCGGCTATCCAGCAACTATCTATGCTAAGGAAGATCTCGAGGGATCCCAAGGGCAGTGAAAGTGAGAAATGAAAGTTTAAAGTAACAAGGGACCTAAATAGAATAAGTTAGATAATTAATGATCTTGTTATATGATGATTGTATGATTTCTTTATTTGTATCATGAATTTATTTGTGATTGTATGCTTAGTAATAAAAACAAAGACTCGTTCTTACGTAAATATTTCAAGGAACCAGGATGATAGCACCCACTGACAGAATTAGGCTTGTAGATAGTGCTGTAATTAATAGACTTAATTATGTATTTAACGAATATCAGAGAGTATGTTACTTTAGGATTGCTATACATGTTAATGATATGCCTATGGATGTTATTGGGAGTATTTGCTCAGGAAAAATAATATTGACATTACATAATCATTGGGTGTTAATAGAACTAATTATGAGTGATTGACAAATATTTAGATACCAATATGAGGATTAAATTAATTAGAATACAAAGAAGTGTAGTAGGTGAACTCATAAATCTTAGGCTTATTTCATCTGATCTCTCTCATACATTGTATTATTGTTCTTTTAATTTATTGTTAAAATTAAGCTCTGTTTTTTATCTGTTACAATTTCGTTACATTTAAACAATCAAATTAAGTTATTCTTGGTATTTGAAAATAATCTCTGTAAGATAAGAACTTAGGAACTCTTAATTCAAAAACTTTTTATTATTTTTTGATAGGTACACTTGCCTACAAACAAAGCCATATATGTTTTGTATTTATTAAATAAATTATTAGTTTATATAGCATTGAACATAAGTGTTTACATAATTTGTAGAAAAAATTCTATAAGATCATGATTGTTAGCAAATATAATTATAACTACATGTTCGTTTGATAAAACCTAGAGTAATTCATAATGTTAAAATAAAAGTGTTAATTATGATAGAATGCATGTTATTAGGATCTTTGTAAGTTTTCAAAAAACTACGTGAACAAATTTTCTCTTCGAAGTCTACTTAAAATTGTTTAGGATAATTTTATACTTCAAATTTTAACCCTCCAACTCAAATGACTCTCAATTTCCTAAAATCCATAACTTCTTTATCTGTATCTTTCTTATATTTTTCTACCATAACTCTTTTTTTTTTCCACCAACCTTTTATATATTTTGTAAATTATGGCATCCAATGTGCGCATATTCATTTAAATATGAATATGATAATATAATTCTTTCATTTAATGCATTAAAATGTTGTTTATATATAATAATGTCACATTATGCATGTTTAAACATATGTGACTTAGCCTATAATAATGAATTAAGTCTTATCAACCAATCATGAGCTTCACTTGAAACCTCCCTCAGTTGAACCATTTTTCTAATCTAGGCAGCATATTATGTTGCTTTGCTTACTTCAAGCATCATACTTCTTAAAACAAATTATATATTCATAATAATTTTTCATATTGACATACACATTTTGAACACAAATTATATATTCATAAACCTCCAACAAGTCTTGAAGAGCAATAGTAAACCTTCTAGGTTGACATAACGCATTATTAATTTATTTATGTAACAAAATTAAAGTAAACAAAAGAAAGGTATCTCATAAAATATACCATTTGTTGGTTTGAAATTTGAAAAAAAGTTGTTTGGTGACCCCTATCATCTAAAAGAAGCATGTAATAAACTAAATTTATGAATCCTTATTGACTCTCAATAGCTACGACTATTTAAAAGGAAAATATTGGTCACTGCGTTCTCTAAATACGACCTCTAATAGCATTCCAGCAAAGCAGATTTTAAGAAACATTCATCCAACTCTATTATAGGTCTACACCAAGATTAAAAAAAGCATATTTTTTAACTCCGTCAAAACGCATGTACATTCTTGAGAAGATAAGGTTATTTGCACTTAAGAGGTGTTTCAGTCAACAACCCGTTTGAACCTACACTTTCCCTTTAATGTCCACACAATAATCATATTATTATTATTAATTTTATTTTTTTTGCCATTTTTCTAGCCCAATACTCCTTGGTTATTGAAACCCCTACACAAAAATTCTCAACGCTCTCAACAACTCAATGACATTCACTTGTTGTTCCTCTTCCGCTTTACTTTTTTGCCACTCACTTATAACAAGCCATTTTTTAATTTTTTTTTGTAAGTCTTGTTATAGGTATGCTTGTCTTTTTTAAGTGTTTTTAACTTGTATGTTGATTACCTCCTTGCTCACAAAAGTCCATGGCATTCATCCTCACAACCCTACAACTAATTTTGTCATTTTTAAAAATCTCAATCCCTAACTATTCGACAAATACCACTCCCTAATTGCTTCCTTAATTTCTTGTAGAGTGAAATTCCATACCGAGAATCTTGCATAAAAATAAAGTTTGAAAAGTTTGTTTGTTGTGACGCAAAGTCCTACACATTTATGCAATCATAAAATCAATGCAAACCTTTTATAGATTACATGAAGTCACAACAACTTAAAGAATAAAAGTCACCATATGATTAGAGATTCTTGTTTGGATTTGAAGATAATGTCATTGCAGAACTATAAGTGATTGCAAAATTAAACTTCACGACATTATGATCTTTGTCTTTAAAGAATTTTTTTTTTACCCCACCAAAACAGACCAAGCTCAAGGAGGAAAAATTTAGAGAAATCTTCTCACCCAGGAATTACTAAATAATTAAATATATTCCCAACCCATATTATTTTTGCATAGATGGAAATTTATATAAGTGTGTTGTTCAGTGTTATATAACACCCTTTGAACCAAAAAGATAATAATTTTTTTATGTCAAGATGAACTTACAAACTTTTTTTTATTTGGGGACCCAATTAAAAATTATTATTATGTACAGGGATAAAAAAACCTCTTCAAGTTTTTTTTAAATATTATTTATTAATTTCTTATTGTGCATTTAGATGCACCTAAGAAAAAACGATAGAAAATTTAAAATAATGACTACTTTTACCAATAATAATAAACATTCCTTTTTTATTCAAAATAAATAAAAATTACAAAACCATTACAAGTAGCGTATTTATTATGTCATAATTCAAAATACAAAAATTAAATTTAACTAAAATTATAACAATATTAAAGCAAAATATTTTAAAAAATTAATTCAATATAACGTATCAAAATTTAGAATTTAAGTAAAATCAAAATTAATTAAATTTAAATAATAATATTTAAAAGAAACAAAAGCAATATAAATAAAATTAAATTGTCAATGCATTCGAAAATCACATGCATTTGGGTACACAACACCTAAACCTCGGATGGTTCTAATGTGGTTAAGCACAAGAGGAGTTGTTTGTGTGGATATTATTGGGTTTAAAACTTGGCAGAGACCTGCATTTATGCGATAGAGGTTCCATCCCTCCATATCCCCACTTTCCATTCCCTTCCCTTCATTGATCCCACACAAAAATAAATACAAGATACCACAGAATGGACATGATGCAACCCAATATACGAAATGCATGCATTTCTCACATTATAGACATAATAGTTTTACAATATTATTTCTTCCATGAAATTTATCATCAATAACTTATGCTTTACTCCTCCTTCCTACTCACATTGTCCTATATAACTAGATAATTGTCGTAGACTAAACTAAAATAGCGTTACACCTTGGAATACAGATCTTACACGCCCACTGATGTATTTAACCTCTTCTTTCTCGACTCTTTTACCCTTTAAGGGGTTACCGCCATTTCTCAATCTTAGCATTCCCCTGCATAAGTAGACAAGACAAAATAGCTGTTAATGTAGATTATAGAAGAGACTTTTCTCCATAGAGGATGAATAAATTTAACAGGACATTGTCAGCTACAATTTGAATTATTGAGAAAATACTACTTAAAAAGGCCTCCTTTCCTTTCTTGTGTGGTTTTAATCCCTCATTTTTGCAGATAGATATAGTTGTATATAATTATTGATATTGCACTGTAACTATTGATATAGATATGTTTAAGTTCACAGCTCATGTAATGGAACGTAATAGATTCGGTTTTAGTTTTAGAGTTGAAAATAAACTATGATTTTTCTAGTGCGTGTGTTTTAAGAAATTAATAAAAAAAAAGTAAATTTTTATTGAAATTAGAAAATTATATCACTTAAATGTTAAAAATGCATTAATCATGTAATATATTGTAATTTTCAATAAACAATTACTAAATATAGATTTTTATTGTGTGCCCTTGGACGCACGTTAAAAATAATCTATAACATAAATGATTTATCTGGATGGAAATTAAATTTGAATGGAAAATAACTTCAATCCTTTTGGATTTTCATTGTGATCTAGATTTTCCATTCTTAACACAATGGTGTGATTTAATTTACATAGCGGACCTCACCTAATGGAAAAAGATAATTTTTGTTTTACTGAATTTAAGAAACAAAGGCATTATTAGGTGACTTGATGGAATGACAAAATATATCAGCAAACCAGACATTATTATCCTACAAGTAGTGTGTATTCCATGAAATGATGTTAGATTGTGGACCATATGAACTTTCATCATTATCTCATGTGTGACCCACCAACTAAAGCAGCACTACGTTCATCGGCAGAAAATAGGTTCGCCTTTTACAGCAAAATAAGTCAGACTGATGCTCCCTTACTTGCCAACAATCACCTGATTATTAAGTTTAGCAACACAAGTTTTGACTGACTTCAATTAAAAGCTAAGTCATTAATTACAAAAATTGCCAGACAAAGGTTAACAAAGTACCATTCATATAGGAAAAGATATGCCATAGTTAGTCTTCACCCTACTTGTTGACGTGCCTTTGATAAAATTTATAATGTATACCTTTTCTGGGTGGCTTTTGGATACTTTTTGACCCCGTTGAAAAGTTGGCACGGGTGTGGCTTTGAAATTATGTTTTAGCTTTTCCTCCTGGGTCAAAGTTAAACAATGTTAAGACGAGCCATTTATGCATGTTATATAGATACTAATAGCAATGGAGAGCTCATAACTTTAGACAACCCATTCTATACAAATTATCATTTAGCTATCTTTTAAGCTTAAAAAAGTATCTCTAAATAATGCATTATAAAATATAAGCAGACCCTTAAGAGACGGCATGAGATGAAAAATAGGAAAGAGTACCTTTGATTTCAATTGAACATGCGTTCTTTCTACCTCTTTTGCATTAATTTTTTCCTCTATTTTTCTTGGAGACTGATCAAAACACAAACGATGAAAGAGCATATTTTAGTCGGTAAAAGTAACCAGTAGTTTCAAAATCTCGTAACCATTTAAATAACAGGTGCTGGATTGTATAGACATGCATCAAGAGTCAGTCCACACCTCTTTTCCTTTCTCTGCTCTTATGTCACTTTTTATGCCCAAAGTAGTTCGCAAAACATTCCCACCTCTTTTATCTGCGCTGTCAACCTTCGGTGACCTATTTCGTAACAACTTCAAGAGGGTCAGCACAAAAACAATTGAACTCCTTATATTTTCATCAAAATAGAGTTTATGCTATATGTTCTGGTAAGGAGGAAAGAAGAGAAGATGTTATAGGTAAAAAGGACAAGAGTCTGAAGTCAGAAATTGACACACAAAATGACAAGTAACTGCACATTGCATCAGATATGGGAAGTTCCAGTTGAATACAAAACTAGGGCTACTTTCAATGTATTGTTGTCATATGCCTAAGTTATATCCTAGATATTACCGGACATATCAAGTTATAACTAAATTTTATAATGTAAAACCATTAATTTTTTCAGCTATATAATCCATATGCTGATGAACTTCTCATGCTTCCTCATTTATCATAGTTATTTGTTGTTTCCTTCCTGGATTAACACTCTCCAACAGAAAAGCCACAAAAAATTGATCTAACCAGTCGATAGTTTTAAGCAAGCATCCTTATTCAAAATCATGTTGAGATTAATTATTAGCATGAAAAAGGTTGAAAACAAGGATATATAAAATACATCAAGGCAATGGAATTGATGCAAGTACATCCATAACGCAGATTCAAAAACTTACTGTCCATTTTCCTTTCGCAATGCTATAGATGTTGGAAGCCTTGGCTCTGTCCCCCTTGAAGGAACCTGCTCAAGAGAAATGTAGGAAAATATTCTCAAACGAAAGTGATTTTCTAATTTCTACTGGTACACAACCTTTTATCAACTATAAAACAGTTATCCGTATTTCTAAACACCTTTTCTTTCACCAAAGATTTGTCTTCATCAGAAATTTTTGGCTGATTGAAATTGTTCTGGAATGTCTTGAATGCTCGTTTGACTATGTCCTTATCCCCCATTTTTTCCATAATCAAAGATTTCCTCAATGTTGTAAGCGGAGCAGGGTCATGTTTGCTTGGAGCCAAGCTAAGCGACATGTGCAAAGATTTATTTGGAACATTTCTGTTCTCTCCAGTAGAAGTAATTTTCCTTCCAGATATGGATGAAGAGTTTCCCCTTTTTGTAGATGCAGATGACAATGTTTTGGTGGGAGATGATGCAGGCTTCGAACTTTTAGGAGTAGAAATTTCGGATGCCTTTGATGAAGGTAGCTTCGATTTCTTCTTCATCTTTGCAACATTGCCTTCTCTATTAAGAGGGGTAACCTGTTCAAACTAGATGGTTAAGAATAGAATTCTGGTTAACCAAATAGCCAAAATTTAAGTGATGTTAATTATTATTTAACAACTCCAATTTTCCAATAAGCAAAAATGTGTTCAATACATGAATTAAAAGCATACCTTTTTAGATATCTTTGGATGATCCAATGTCACATGTTTTGCTTCAATTTCTAAAGCCTTTGCAGTCTCATTGTCCACATGGTGTGAAATTTCCTTCACACTTTCAGCTTCAAGGGTAGCACTTTCTTTACCTTCTTGTTCAATGCACACAACTTCTTCATGTTTATCCATCTGGAAACCACGTGATCTACTTTCCAGTTCTTCATTCTCTCCCTCAACTGATGAACTTTGATAATCTCTTGAAACTGCAACATCCTCCTCCGAATTACCCACATGGGTAGCTATGGTCTCACGAGTTGAATTGGTTTCTTGCTTAGCCCCTTCACTGGAACCTTGAGTATTGTGCACATCAAATTCTTCATCAGTCCCACAAGTGTTACGACTCAGCTCTTCACCAGTTTGATACTGTGATCTGAGAGGATCTTTCTCCATTTGCTTCTCTTGAGCCAACAATTCAGCTTTTCGGGCTGCTACATTCTTGTAATGAGCTTCAAAGTACGCTTTTTTCTGAGCAACTGATCCAGGTGTTGCACACTTCTCAACTTCTTCCAAGTACTTGTTTGGTGAGAATGCAGACCATTTCTCCCAAGACAAGGAATCATTCTCAAATCTACCAAACGAAACAGAAACTTGCAAAGCAGGATTGGAAGCCACTGTCTCTCCCATCTGCTTACACAGCAGACAGATAAAGCAAAACAAAAAAACAAAAAACAAAAACAAAAATTGTGTGCATAATTACAAGGAGCCAACATAAAGACAACTCACTATTACACCAAAAGAACAAAACTTTAACAAAAAATAAATTAGGGAATCAACAAATCAGATAGAAATGAAAGAAGAAAAAGAATCCATCTTTAATCTTAAACAACCTTAAGGACAAATGGGTTTACCTTGTCTTGAAAAATTGGTGCAACTACTAGAAGTTATCACTCAGCTAGAACCCTATATAACCCCCAAAGACACAAGCATGGCCTGCAAAGAAGCAGCAGGGGGGAAAACAATTATTCTGCGGATCTCACTGGAAATGCCAAGAGGAGTCATAATGGGACAAAAAGAAGACAGAGAAAAATTGCAGCAAATGATGAGTAAAGGCATAGAAGGGACATGTGCATGTGGTGTGAGAGTGAGAGAGCACTCATTCTCAGATTCTCTCCTTAACATCGATCTCTACTTCACCTTTCGACTGTAACTGCATCATTTATCTGCTTTATGTACTTGTGAAAACTCCGTAAATGATAACCCCAATCATCAAAGACAAAGCCTGCAAGAGTGAGCAAAATCCAGAGGCTGTAGATCACACCAGCTGTTTCATATTTCCAAAGACCACTTAACTTTTAATGACATTTAAGTACCACTACTTTCCAAGAAGAGCCAAAGTTGAATGAAGCAGATAGAGTTGAGAGTTGATAAAATAATTGAGAAGGAAAGGCACAAAAAGAAACAACTTTTCAGTAAAAGAATAATTTATTGGGGTAAATGAGATTAGCTGGCACAAATTATGAAGCTTCCACCAAACAAAAGACAAGTGTCCACTTTCCAATTTTCCTCCTACTAACTAACCATACCAATGGGCTACAACACACGTCTCACTGAAGGGTTCGAGGAGAGAGAGCCAATACAGCGGTGACGATGATGAGAATAAATCAACCATCAACCATAGCATGAAATTGAAGGCAACGAAGAAAGGCCCACGTGAACAAAGCTGCACTTGTGAGAGGGAGTGTGTGAAGGGTACATTAATTATCAACCTCCCTTTAGACCATGTGTGGACCCCAAGCATAATTTGTTGAACTAAAAGATGCATGGACCCAGTTCAAACCCAACGCCGTCGTTTTATCCCACCTCAACCCCAACTATGATCACCGATACTTCAAACTTTAGAGCACACAAATATCGTATCCATTACTCAACACGCGAATCCCACAATTTACTAAAGTTTTATTGCATTTCTTTTAAGTTATTCAAATAATGAAGAGGATAATACAATAATAATACCAAACTAATATTAAATATATTAAAAATAATTCACTTATATAAAAAAATTACATTTTACTTGAGATATTTTTGCTATTTTCATATAATAATTTTTAATGAAAAGAATGATTTTATAAAACATGGTCAGTGAGAAATGTCAGTAATTCTCTTAAAAAAAAGTGTAAAATAGTGAGTTGATAGGATACTCTGGGGGTGTTTGTTATAAGGTACCTAAATCCATACGCAGCTGTGCAACATAGAAGGACAGCAATGGGTTAGTTAGGGTGGACTTGACTTGAGGGAGGGGTCCTTTTCAGATGAAGCGGAGATAGACATAATCAATGGGTGTGGCTTCGATTGATTACGTTTTCCTTGGGCACTTGCTTTGTCCCCACTTACAGCTACAGATGTCAACTTCAATTAATATCGCCATCCACCTCTCCACCGTCTCTACCCAACATATCTCCCACTTACCAATGTAAAGATGTCTGTTATTATTTAAAATGCCATATAAACTGGACCTAAGCCCTTTTCATACCAACATTTTTAGTAAATAACATAACTTAAGAAAATTAATTAGAAATAATTAATATATAATTAATTTTGTATGTGCCCTCAGTCTTCATGAATTCTCCAACACTTGTTTTTTTATAAGAAAGTTTTGTGCTCTCTTAGAGCTCTTGCCTTAGGATTTTCTTTTCGAGTCTTACGCTACCGTGATCTAAAGAAAGCTTTAGTCTAGAAAGGATTATTTTGTTGGCTAGTTGATGAGAATCAAGGAAAGCCCATTGAAGACAAAGACTTGAAGGCATTAGAAGAGCTTCAAGGACCAATGACAAGGGCAAGGGCAAAAAGAATAAATGAAGACTTAGAAAAGATTGTTGCTATCTTATTTGAAAGGGAGCTCAATTTAGAGTTAGAAAAGTCCAAGATAATCAATTACATATGCTTAGAGGATTTGAACTCTAACGAGTTTTATTAGGATTTAATTATTATGTTTAGTTTATTTATTTTAATATTAGTCATTACTTATTTTGAGTTTTTATTTAGGATAAAATCTTGTTATTTTATTTAGTCTATTTGAATTTAGGCTTGTTGGTACAAGAAGCCCATTAGGGTTTGCGTTAGTATTAGTTTACAAGCATTAGGCATATATAAGCTCTTGTAAACACACTTTTAATTAGTTTTGAATATAATTTGAGATTGAACACTCTTGTGAGAGCGTGTGACTCTAGGTTCTTGAGTGAGCCAATTTTCTTTGATCTTATCAAGAGGCCAAAACTCTTGTGGCGATCGTTCCTTGGCTTATCAATCTTGCGATTGTGGCGCCATTTTCCATCTCTACTCTATTTTTACTTCTTATTAATTTTCTTCTTATTTTAATTCTTATTTGTGCCGTAATAATTTCGTTTTTATTGTGTGAAATCCAATTCAAGATGGTTTAATTCGGCGACACGGTTTGTGGTTGTCATCAATTTTTTGGCCTCTTGATAAGATCAAAGAAAATTGGCTCACTCAAGAACCTAGAGTCACACGCTCTCACAAGAGTGTTCAATCTCAAATTATATTCAAAACTAATTAAAAGTGTGTTTACAAGAGCTTATATATGCCTAATGCTTGTAAACTAATACTAACGCAAACCCTAATGGGCTTCTTGTACCAACAAGCCTAAATTCAAATAGACTAAATAAAATAACAAGATTTTATCCTAAATAAAAACTCAAAATAAGTAATGACTAATATTAAAATAAATAAACCAAACATAATAATTAAATCCTAATAAAACTCGTTAGAGTTCAAATCCTCTAAGCATATGTAATTGATTATCTTGGACTTTTCTAACTCTAAATTGAGCTCCCTTTCAAATAAGATAGCAACAATCTTTTCTAAGTCTTCATTTATTCTTTTTGCCCTTGCCCTTGTCATTGGTCCTTGAAGCTCTTCTAATGCCTTCAAGTCTTTGTCTTCAATAGGCTTTCCTTGATTCTCATCAATCCCTCTTTCTTCAAGAAAATTTGTCCTCAAATTTGAATCTTTATTACCTACATCAACGAGAGATAAATCAAATACATTAAAAGTAGCATTAACACCATACTTACCTAATAAGTCCACTCTGTATGTATTATCTCTAATCCTCTTTAAGATTTGAAATAATTCATCCCCTCTTGTTTGGAGCCTTGTATTTCCTTGCATGGGAAACTTTTTTCTGCACATATGTATCTAAACCCAATCTCCAGGTTCAAATTCTACTTTCTTCCTTCCCTTATTGATATACTTTGCTTGTTGCCCCACTTTCTTTTCAATTTGATGTTTTATTTTTCTAATTGGAGGTAGGCAGTAAGATACTTCTTTAGGGAAGACATCTTCAAAATCCTGTAGAAGAGAGAAAACACTACTAGGCAAAATATCGTTAGCAAAGGAATCCATAAATTTATTATGAGGACTTTCTTTATACAAAGGTAAGCACATAGGCCGAGAGGTCAACAAAACTTTCTTTACTTCTTTTTCTCTCACAAACAAATTTTCTCTCCTTTCATATTGATTTTTTTCTTCACCTTTCTTTTTACTCTCATATTTCTCACTTGTAAGTGTTTCACCTTTCTCTTCACTCTCATATTCCTCACTTGTAAGTGTCTTCATTTTTTCTCCTTTCTTTTTAAGGTTCCCCTCAAACTCACTCTTTTTCTTTTCATCTTTTCTCTCTTGCTCTCTTCTCAACCTCATGACTATTTGATCATCACACACTTGACTAGGAGTCATGGGCACTAGAGTGATTGTGCTCCTTTTATGTATAAATGTGAACTTGTTGGAATGACCATCATGAATAGCTTTCTTGTCAAACTGTCAAGGTCTCCCTAAGAGTATATGACTTGCTTCCATAGGCACTACATCACACAAGACTTCATCTTTATACTTGCCAATAGAAAAAGTAATTAAAACTTGCTTATTAACAACCAACTCCCCTCCATCACTCAACCATTATAGCTTATAAGGCTTGGGGTGAGGAGTAGTAGTAAGATTCAATTTCTCAATAAGTCGAATACTAGCCACATTGGTACAACTACCACCATCAACAATAAGAGAACAAACCTTTCCAAGTACCAAACATCTTGAATGAAAAATATTTTCTCTTTGTGTGGTATCATCCTCCTTAGCTAAACTACCCAAGAGACGCCTTACCATAAGCAAATCTCCTTCGTGGCATAAAGCTTCAAACTCACTATCCTCTTCACTTGAAGCGTGTGATGATTGAGATAAACTATCACTTGAGATCTCACCATTCTCTCTCAAAATCATGGTTTTCTTGTTTGGACATTGGGATGCAATATGACCCTTTCCAAGACATTTGAAGCATTTGATTGCTCTATGCTGAGAAGTAGGAGAAGCAGAAGTATTAGTAGAATTAAAAGAAGCTTGAGAGGAAGGTTTACCACTTTGCACAATTGTATCCTTATTTGATATTTCCTCCTTCTTTACTTCTTCCTTCCACCCTTTTGAGCTGTAAGAAGAGACATTCTTCCTCAAAGTACCCTTTCTCTTTAGTTGTGCTTCTACTTTAATAGCTTGGTGAACCAAATCTTCAAGTTTCACATAGGGATGAAGTTCCACTATGTCACGGATGTCATGGTTCAACCCATTTAAGAAACGAGCCATTGTTGCTTTTCTTTCTTCAAATACATTAGCTCGTATCATGGCAACTTCCATTTCTTTATAATAGTCATCAACACTTTTGCCACCTTGCCTCAAACCTTGAAGCTTTGTATGAAGCTCTCTATTGTAGTATGTAGGAACAAATCTCCTACGCATTAGGTTCTTCATTTCAGTCCATGTATCTACAGGCTCCTCATCATATCTCCTTCGGTCCCTTTGAATTTGATCCCACTACACCAACGCGTAGTCGTAAAACTCTAGGGAGGCCACCTTTACTTTCTTTTCTTCACTATAATCATGGCATGAGAATACTTGCTCTATCTTCAATTCCCACTCTAAGTATGCTTCAACATCATTCCTTCCATGAAAACTAGGAATTTTTATTTTAACTCCACCAATTCTCTCATTTTCTCTTATTCTTACATCTTCTCTTCTTCTTCTTTGATTCCTCCTCTCTCTATTATCTCTCCACCTATCATACCTCCTTTCTTCATCATCTCTCCTATTTCTTCTTCTTTCTCTTGAAGAATTACTAGAGTCTTTATGGGCATGTGGAGAACGATCACGTGACCGCCTTCTTGCATTATTTGCCAACGCCTCTTGAACATTCCTTATTGCTTCATTTTGCCTTTCAAACATGTTTTCAAATCTTTGAGCAAGTCTTTCAATTTGCGAGGCAGGAGTGCTCTCTCTACTTGATCCTCCTTCTTGAGACATTCTACAAAACAATAAAAGTTAATGCAAAAAGAAAAGGTTCTCTCCACTCGCTAAGTATTTTCACTCAGTAGATATTCACTCGTGTTTCACTCTAAATTGGTTTTTGTGTAAGGATTTCTCTCTTGCCTTTTTCCCCTCAAATACTCTTAAGAGTTCTTAAGGAAGTCAACATCCAATCCACATAATTAACCAAAACCAAGAGACAATCAATCAATGAGACTCAAGTGAAGCCAACAAAAGAAAACTCTAAGACAAAACTAAGGAAGCCAACAAGACAATAGAAAAAAAAAAGACTAAATAAGAAATAAGCACACTCAAAAATAGATTGCAAATAAAACAAAATTGGAGAATTTAAAGAAGATTATATAACGTTAAACAACTACTATTT